GCAGTATGTCCCTGCATCGATTAATGAAGTCATAGGGGTCCTCATGTTGCTCTCCCCTAAAGATAGGAAGATGTATTCTAGTCCATCTGTCCAATAATTTCTGCGGCTCGGCGACTGCAGTTGGTCTGGTCTCAGGTGTAGCTGCTACCACTGGCTGGGCTCCACCTACGGGTAGTGCACCCAGGGTCTGATATACAATAATTGCCTACCCATGAGCCCGTGCGGTAGGGGTTTGTGCTCCCCCGCCCACCTGAGATGTGGCTGGGCCTGCCGGAAATAAACTGGCCAGAGTCATAGTGTCCATGAACCGCAACATACGGCCCATGACATCCTGGAATCCCGGTGCAGACGTGAAATCCATCGGAGCTGGCTCTGCCACGGGCACCTCGTCCTGTTCCTCAATAATAGGATCTTCTGCTGGACCCACTGGTGGAATAACTGGGACAATCCTGGGACGTCCTCGTCCCCTACCACGGGCTGGAGCCCTCCCTCGGCCTTTAAGAACTGGGGGAGTAGCTCTCCCCTGGCGTGGAACCTCATTAGAGCGCGTTCTCACAATCTATGAGAGAATAAAAGAAAGATATTTAGTACTACATCAAGGTAGTTTCCTAACACCCTATAGCCTCTTGAAGATAAGTACAGACGTCTCCGTACCGATCTGCAAGACTCTATTAGGCATGCTCATAACTTGTGTGACCTACGTGAACCTAGTGCTCTGATACCATGTTATCACAACCCAATTTCACCTATAGGTCGTGATGGCGCCCAACACTACAGCTACGCAAACCAACTGATGATTTAAACACATATTCAACTCTTTAAAAATTTAACCGGGTATGTAAACTCTTATAACTTGCAAGAATTTAAGACAATATAAAAAGATATGGTAAATTAAAAAAAAGGAACAAAATTAAATCCAAAACAATTTTACTAGTGTATGCCAAGACCTGATGTCACAGGTGTATGAGCATCTAGTGGATTATACAAAAATTTTAAATACTGTCTGAAATGAAATAAACATAATAAAATTTCAAGAAGAGGCACTAGCTGCTGCAGAACGGCTCAGAAAGGCAGCTCACCATTAAGCCTCTGGATAACGTGGGTGCGCGCTGATAGGTCCAACTATAGCACCTGTCTCAGGTCCTACACAAAAAGTGCACAAAGTGTAGCATGAGTATGTAAACAACGTGTACCCAGTAAGTATCAAGTCTAATCTCGAAGAGGTAGTGACGAGAGGTCGACTTTGACACTCACTAAGGGTCAATAATAATAAATAAAATAAAATAATAGATTTATTTAAATCAACTTGATTTATAGAATTAACAATAATTTTTTTAACCAACAGAAATAATTAAATTCCTTCAAATACGAGAATTTTTAATTTATTTAACTTCATAAGCTGCAATTAAAATATCAAGGTATCGTGTAATTATTATTATTAGGCACGATTTCTGCCGAGGTTGTATGTCCGATCCAGAGTGTCGTGTACACTGCCGAGGGACGTGCAGCGCGATCCATAGATGTATATATACTGTCGAGGCGTTCGGTCCGCTCCACAAGAAAGGANGTATATATATATTATAATATTAATACAAGACGATGTACAATTTTTTTTAATAATTAATTAATTTATAGAAAAATTAAAATATACGAGATTTCAATCTTTTACTATCTTCCCTAGCAATGCAGAATATAGTTCAAATACAACAATAACAACAACTAGTATAATCCCACTTGTGGGGTCTGAGGAAGGTAGTGTGTACGCAGACCTTACCCCTACCCTGGGGTATAAAGGCTGTTTCCGATAGACCTTCGGCTCCCTCCCTCCAAGAACTCCCCACCTTGCTCTTGGAGTGACTCGAACTCACAACCTCTTGGTTGGAAGGGGGGAGGGGGTGCTTACCACTAGAGCAACCCAACCTTGTTCAAATACATTAATTAAATAAAAAATACAATTAACACACGTAATTCATGATTTGAGTCTTAAATTACCGGACTTTAGCATAATTAGTAGCTACGCACGGACTCTCGTCACCTCGTGCGCACGTAGCTCCCCACAATTAGCAACAATTATTAATTTAAATCACCTATGGGGTAAATTTCCCCTTACAAGGTTAGACAAGAGACTTATCTCGACTTGCTCCAATTTAATCCACCAGTAGGCCTTTTCCTCGATTATCCAACTCTGATGGCTCGAATCTAGCCAAAATAATTCGATACAGTCACCAAAAATTATAGGAATCAATTTCATAAGAAAATACTATAATTTTTAATAAAAATCCGAAATTAACTCAAAAATATCTCGGAATCCGGCGAAAGTTACGAAATATGAACGTCCATTCAACCACGAGTCTTCCCATACCAAAATTACTAAATTCTGTTAACAATTCGGCCCTCAAATCATAAAATTTATCCAAGAGAGTTTTCAAACATTTCAAACTTAATTCACCAATTAAATGATAAAAATAATGATGAATTCAGGTAATTTAACCAATATTGAGTTAAGAACACTTACTCCGTTATTTTTCTATGAAAATCTCCCAAATATTGCCTCAATCCGAGCTCCAAATCGGTAAAAATGAAAAATGCGACGAAGTACCATTTTCAGAACTTAAACTCTCTGCCCAGTTATTTGCTCTACGCGATCGCGAACTTGTCACGCGATCGCGATGAAAATTTCTCCCATTGCCTAAATTAACCCCATGCGGTCGCGGACTTGTCCACGCGATCGCGAAGCTCAAACTCACAGGCCTATGCGATCGCGAACTCATCCACGCGATCGCGAAACACAAACGCGTGACCACCACTTCTGCTCCACTTACTCTACGCGAACACGACCTTCTTCACGCGTTCGCGAATAACAAACTCCCATAGCTATGCGATCGCGGCTCTCTTCACGCAATCGCGAAGAACAAAACCATCACTGCCTCAAACAAGCCTACGCGATCGCAAACAATGATCCCAAATTAGCTTACGCGATCTCGAATGAACTTATGCGATCGCGTATAAGGAAGCCAGAAGAAAAATACCAGCAACTATCAACTATCTCCCAAAGGCTAAAAATAATCTGTTAGCCGTCCGAACTCACCCGAGTCCCTCGGTATCTCAACCAAATACACCAACAAGTCCTATGACATCATACGAACTTAGTCGAAACCTTAAATCACATCAAACAACGCTAAAACCACGAATCATACTCCAATTCAAGTTTAATGAAACTTAAAATTTCCAACTTCTACATATCAAATCAAGTCCGATTGACCTCAAATTTTGCACACAAGTCATAAATGACATAATGGAGCTATAAAAACTTTCAAAATTGGATTCCGACCCTGATATCAAAAAGTCAACTCCCTGGTCAAACTTCCAAACTTAAATTCTTGTTTTAGCCATTTCAAGCCTAATTTAACTACGGACTTCCAAATAAAATTTCGAACATGCTCCTAAGTCCAAAATTATCATACGGAGCTGTTGGAATCATCAAAATTCTATTCTGGGGTCGTTTACACATAGGCCGACATCCAGCCAACCTTTCAACTTAAGTTTTAAACTTTGGAACTAAGTGTTCCAATCTATTCTAAAAACCTCACCGGACCCGAATTAACCACCCCGATCAGTCACATAATAATTATAAAGCATAAATTGAGGAGTAAATGGAGGAACGAGATTCTGAAAGTCAAAATGACATGTTGGGTCATTACAAAAATGGTGTAGTTAAATTTATACGTGGTTTCTAGACAGATAAATTAATTTGATCCTGAAGTAATAAAATAATCGAAAAATTATGCAATACTTAGCCTTAGGATGTAGACGAAATAATAGAAGCAACAGTTTCGGAAGCAGGGCACAACAACAACGAAATCAAAAAGTAAGAAGATAAGATTGTATTTGAGCTTTTGTATAGAATTGAGCGTAAATTTGACAAAAAAATCATCTCATTTACAATGATAACTGAGATCAATATTTATAGCTATGTATAGGGAAGGATGTCCTATTATCGTGCCCTTCTTTAATGTCAATTACGAGGGACATTGATGAAGATGTAACGGTGAACATAAATGCCAAATTTTCTGTAACGGGTAATTTCTCTTAATGTCATGGAATATTCTCTATTAAATGCCACCGGGCGAAGAGCATTTATCACATCTTTACGAGCGTTATTCTTTCCGGTGACAAACAGAACAGTTGCCTTCGGTCTTTGGCCATCCCCGTCTTGGGTTCCACGTGTCCCTTTTTTGGATAGCCACGTGTCATAACATATTTTACCCTATACAATATTTATGTAGCATTTTTATGTTGATTTAGTGTCTTAGTCTTACTTTGGCAGGTGATTAATTCGTTTTCAGTTCTAGTTTCTTAAATAAGGGTAAGATTATCTTTCAAATATGCATAAGTGACATTACAAAAGTTCACATGGAATATTTTTTAGTTCTTAGTCAAATATAATCTCAGGAATAAAATAACTTATTGAGATATTTCTTTACTGGAAAATATTGTTGCACAATAAAGAAATTTAGGGGTATACTATTAAAATAAAGAGTTACATTATTAAGATGGGAGTATAAAATATATAACCCGTTAAACTATCCTTAGAATATAAATGGATTTCTTGAAATTTAGAGGTGCTTGCACAAATGACATCAGGGTAATGACTTAAGAGTATTGAAAATTTATATATTTAATACTTAACTTACTTGAATTGAGGCATAATTATTACTCTTCAATTTATGTGTCTACATTAATATTTGGGGAGTTCATTTTTTATAATTTTTTAAATATTTTATAAGTATTTTGAAATATGAATTATTATAACTTTATGATTCTTTATACATAGTTTTCAAATATATTTATTTTATTTTAAAAAACTTGAAAATTTATGTTTAATTTTATGGCCAAATTAAGAACTTTAACCATTATACTCCGAATCTTATTTTAAAGATCAAATAGATATATTTATTCAAGACTAAAATTGAAACTTATATCCAGTTTGAGTGCGCAGTAAGAACACAAGTTCAGTTCTTGTACTTCTTATTCAAGCTTTTCATTTTCACAGCCTGGATATCAATGTCCGCAAAGAACAAAATCCTTTCTATAGTAAACCAACTGAAAATATGTACAAGTTCAAAGCAGCTGGAATCCCTTTACACTTTGATACTAAAATATGGCGCTGCAACTAAAGACTGTTTCTTGATGAACCAATGCATTGCCACATGTTCTACACTTAATAGCACAGATTTTGCATCCTTTGCATTTTCCCAAATGGAAAATCCCAATGTATTCGTTTACAACGCATTAATAAGAGCTTTTGTTAATTGTCACAGCCCACTTAATGCTTTAAAGTTGTATATAGACATGTTTAAAAAAACTCAAAATAGTCCAAATAGCTACACGTTTTCGTCAGTAATTAAGGGCTGCACGTTGATGTGTGCTTCAAGATTAGGGGAATGTGTTCATGTGCAGATTTTGAAATATGGTTTTGGATCCCATGTTTTTGTTCAAACTGGTTTAATTGATTTTTACTCTAATTTAGGTAGAGTTGATTTATCAAGATTAGTGTTTGATGAAATGCCTGAAAGAGATAATTTTGCTTGGGCTGCAATGGTTTCAGCTCATGCTAAGGCTGGTCAGTTGGGTGGTGCTAGAAGTTTGTTCGATGAAATGCCTGAAAAAATTACCCCTGCTTGGAATGCTATGATTAATGGGTATGCGAGAACCGGGGATATTGAGTCAGCTGAGTTGTTGTTCAGGGAAATGTCGAGGAAGGATTTGATATCGTGGACAACGATGATTAATTGTTACTCTCATAATGGGATATATGGACGAGCTATAGAGGTTTTCTGTGACATGAAGAGTAACTTGATCACTCCTGATGAAGTAACAATGACTAGTGTTATTTCTGCTTGTGCGCATCTTGGTGTCCTGGATCAAGGAAAGGAGATGCATCTTTATGTTATGCAAAAAGGTTTTGATCTTGGTGTGCATATCGGATCTGCATTAATTGACATGTATGCAAAATGCGGGAGCTTGGAGAGATCACTCTTGGTATTCTATAAATTGAGGGATAAAAACCTTTTTTGTTGGAACTCTGTTATTGATGGACTGGCTGTTCATGGTTATGCAGAAGAGGCATTAGCTATGTTTAGCAGGATGGAGAAAGAGAAGGTAATGCCGAATGGTGTTACCTTCGTCAGCGTTCTTACAGCCTGTACACATGCAGGGCTAGTTGAGGAGGGTCGGAAGAGGTTTCTAACTATGGCCGGGTACTATGGTATCATTCCTGAAATGGAGCACTATGGTTGCATGGTTGACCTATTGTGTAAAGCTGGTTTGCCAGAGGAAGCACTTGAGATTATTAGAAGCATGAGAATGGAGCCAAATGCTGTTGTTTGGGGTGCTTTACTTGGTGGGTGCAAGCTTCAGAAGAACTTGGAAATTGCTCAAGTTGCTGTTAAAAAGTTGAGTATTTTGGAGCCAAAGAATAGTGGCTATTACGCCCTCCTAGTGAACATGTATGCTGATGCAAATAGATGGAGTGAAGTAGCCAGGATCAGGGCAATCTTGAGAGGATTAGGAGTAGAAAAAGAATGTCCAGGTTCCAGTTGGATCGAAATAGAGAAAAAGATCCACCAGTTTGCTGCTTGTGATAATTATCACCACTCTTCACAGGAGATGTATTCCTTACTAGATGGATTAGATGGGCAACTTAAGCTGGCTGGACATGTTCAAGCGCTTGGATTTGTGTTCTAATGACATGGCAAAGCCATTGTTGACAGCATAGACTTCATATTCAAAGTGGCTAAATATTTTGTATTCTGTTGCGGTGAATTTAGATCTGGAACTGTACGTTCAAAGAGGCAAAGGTAATGCAAATTCATTCGAGTCACTAATCTTAAGCTATTTAAAATCATCGCAGCAACCGATACATGGACATTTCGTACATCTAAAGGTTCATAACTACAGTATTCAATTAAGTACAAATTCATTAAGAAGTTCACACTCTTGGTAATGTTTTTTTTTGTATGTTCGTTCTGTCTTTCTCTTTATTATTTGATGCTTTAGAAAAATGATAACACCAAAGTAAAATTGGATGATCAGGCTTTGAGATGAAAATGGAGAATTTTGGAAATTTCAGAAATCATCTAGGGCGAGGGGAAGTTTGAGATTAGGTTGCACTGTTTTGCCTTAGGTGGTTGGCCTTTAACCTTTTTTTCTTTATTTCTAATTTCTAGTACATCTGGAGCTGCACTTAATGCCAAGGCGGGAAGTTACTGTTTGAAGTAAAATCCGAGCTACCACAGAATATGGATTGTATCTAGACAACTCTGAGTTCAGAGTTTCTCCAGTTGAATCAGTGGCTCGGGCGATGAAAGTTCTCTCCTCTCCTTTTTAAGACTCTAACCGGTGGCTATTAGGCACTCTGCAGTTCCTCCTTATCTTCTCTCCTGGGCAGCCAGATTGCAGGTCACCCATTTTATCATCCCTTCAACAAAGGCCTTAAAGAATTCATCTTGGTTAGCGCTAAACCACCTTACATATTCTCTTGTTAGATGGTATTTAAAAAGTGTTTGATCTGAATTTAGAAATCCTCGTCCATTGACCAAGTCTTTGAAGTACTGGTTATCAAATACTTCAGGTGTTTCATCCAAGTCTCCTGTCACATTCCCATCTCCACCAAGTGGACAAAGCCTGTCTAGCTTTTTTCTAAATCTTTGTTCAGTAGCAGGGTGAAGCCGGCCTGAGCCAGACTGGTTATATAGGCGAAAAATGATGGAAAAGCACCTTCCGTTGCCAATGGAGCGAGAACCAGAAAGGGCTACAAGAGTTAAATCTGCTGAAGAGATCAATGAGGTAGCTTGCATTTGATCATGGACTTGGCATACTCTTGTCTGAGTCTTCTTGATTTGCTGTTAGGCTATCTAGCCTTCCCAATTTCACTTCCCAATTAGGACCTCCACTCTGAGTAAAAACGGAAGTAACAAAGAAACTCCTCTCAAGAAACTATAGCTAAATACATGTTTAATTTTTCTATGATGAAACCAGAAAAGATGAGAATAACAAGGAGCGTTTTCTATTATTATCTTCTTGCTAGATACGTTGCTTCATTATCTTATACAGCTTCTTAGTTTTGTTCGATTTACTCCTCAAATTATGATTTACTCTAAAAGGAAGAAGAAACGTGACTGTCATAATACATGAAAATGACCACCAATTTAGTCACATAGTGCAATAGTCAATTGTACAACAACAACATACCCGGTGTATTCCCATAGTGTAGGGTTTGGGGAGGGTAGTGTGTACGCAATAGTCAATTGTGTCTTCGCTTTTATAGTAAGCTTATTTTGAAATACTACTTGTTTATATTCTCGTTCTCCTTTTTTAGCTCTTTTGTTTTATTCTTCTCTCTCTCTCTCTCTCTTTTTTCCATTTTTGGTGGGAGAGAGCTACACAGAAGCAGAGGAATATCAGTAAGCAAAACAAAAACAAAAAAGGAAGAAGAAAAGAGTAGCATTTGGCTCTTTTCGGAAGAAAGAAGTGAGAAGGTGACAATGTATTTTTACCAGTACAACAGCATTTCTGACAGCCACGATTAGGAGGTCAGCGCAAGATACAACGCCAGGGAAGGCAATCTCCAAGGCTTCCTTGACCCATCTACAACTTCGTAATACCTGTGTGAATTTATATTAAAGCTAGTTTTTCTCCTAGTTTGGCGTGTTATTCATCAATAATGAAGCATCAATCCCTACTTTAACACCAAAAACAAGAACTCCCATATCAAAATAAGAAGAATCTGAAGTATCTATAGATTAAAAAAGAACTCATTTCTTGAGCTGCAAGCATAATTACATTGACAAACAATCATGGAACTGCAAACACATGACTGAGGCAGCACTTCAGGGTTCTCTTTCCATGGCTTTCCTCATAACATCCCGGACAATAAATTCGGCTTGTGGGGCACCCAAAGGTGTGGCCTAATGGTCAACGAAGTGGGCGGAGAACCATGAGGTCTCAGAATCAAATCCCAACGGAGACAAAAAACTGTAGGTGCTTTATGGGAATCTGCCCAAGCCTTGGTGGGCAGAGTTACCTGGTACTTGTTCTGGTGGGAGGTAGCAAGTACTCAATGGAATTCTCGACGTTCGTGCAAGCTGGCGCGGATACCACTGTCATAAATTTAAAAAAAATCGGCTTGTAGGCAAGTTTATGAGTAGAAAACTGACTGCAGAGCAGCAGGCATGGCTGCCATACCCAAACTAAGGTGGAGTAGAAGCCCAAATAAAGGTGGCATAAGTATAATCTAAGGACCCGTTTGGCCATAGATTTTGCCAAAATAAACTTGGATTTTATTTGGCAAACACATGTTTGGCCATAGATTTTGCCTATATTTTGGCCAAATCCCAAATCTCAAATTCCAAATCCCAAAACCAGCTCAATAGTTGGTTTTGGGCCAAAATATCACTATTATATTTTTTAAAAATTGCCTCAAACTTTTGTATTTTATAAAAGAGCCCACCATTTATTATTTTGTAATGATGTTGCTTCATCTTCTCGGTCATCTGATAGTGTATCATGTAGTTTATTATAAAATGATAATTTTGTATTAAATTTATTTATGTTCAGGACTATGGTTTGCGATAATATAATGAATGTTATTGATAATGGTACTGTTGGGTATTTGTGATAGTTTTTAGAACTTATGGGTATAAGTCATGTTTCATATTTTTCTAAACCAAACTTCACCCAAAATAGATGTCTAAACACATTTTCATCTTCAGACCAAACTTCACCCAAATTAAATTTTTCAGAATAAATTTGGGAATATATGGCCAAACGCTAACTAATTATAATGAAACCCATGAGATATATTGAAGATTTGAATAGAGCGGAATAGATATAGTAAGCTCATATGACTGATCTCAATTTATTCTCTAGAGGCATAGTTGAATATTGGTTAACCCTTTAGCAAAAAGCACAAAGAATGTATAAAGGTCTCCTTAACCTCAGATGGATTACACAGAGAACACTATTTTCTTTTCTTTTTTGTAGTTATTCTCTTGTCATGATCTGCCAGTGCCACACTTTCTTTTTTAATTATTATTATTCTCTTTCATGATCTGGCAATACATCTTACAATGATTCTTATAGTATTATAATAATCAATAGGCTAAGCTAAGCAAAGAGTGAACAAATGATGAATCTCTACCACTATGGTCAGATTCAACATTTGTTCACTGTCAAATCTTTTGAAAGCTTCCATTGTTAATGAGGAAACCCCTCAATTTTCTTTCTTCTTTTCATCCTTGTAAAGGAGTGATTATGCCATTCCTCACTTGCTGGAAGGTTACTGTGTAATCTCCTCTTGGTGTAAGTTTTGCGCAATCAATAAAATACAAAATCCATTTAAAAAAATAAAAATTAAAAAAAATCAATCATGTGATCATTAAAATTAGCCCACCACATTAGACTTGTGCAACTGATTTATGGAATGCTTGTTCAGCTAGCAATGCGTGCACGTAGGAGTACACTAAACAATAAGATCACAGAACAGATCAATCCTTTCCCCTATTTAAAGATTACTTTCTTTAACTGCACTTTCATGCACCCAAGGGTGTGGCCTAGTGGTCAATGAAGTGGGTGAGAATCATGAGGTCTCAGGTTCAAATCCCAGCGGAAGCAAATACTAGGTGATTTCTTTCCATCTATCCAAGCCTTGGTAGATAGAGTTACCTGGTACCTGTTGCTGGTGGGAGGTGGCAGGTATCCCGTGGAATTAGTCGAGGTGCGCGCAAGCTGGTCCGGACGCCACGGTTATCAAAAAAAAAAAAAAACTGCACTTTCATCAAGTTTTGGCATAAACATGAAAAGGGTTTCTTTAGTTTTCTGGGTTTGTCTCTTATTAGTTTATTTTCTAAGAGAATCCAAGGCAGTTTCTCAAGCAGAAGGCCATGGCAGTTACATTGTTTACATGGGTGCCGCTGGTTCATCCAATGATGTCGCTAGAGATGATCAAATTCAGCTTATGAGCTCCCTGACAACAAGGTAATTGGTTCTAATCTATAACCATGTTTAACATTCTGCACTATGATAAAGTTGTACTTGTATTGTTATCACTTGTCAGGAACTTGATTACAAGTCTACTAGTTCATTAGTTGTTAAAGCTTTACTTAATTAAATTAGTATAATAAACTTTTGCTGATGTATTTTGATTTGTCGCCAGATACTACTACGGTCACTATACCTTGTAACATTGAGTGCAAACTTAATTAGCAGAATATATGTTTTTTTTTGGAATTCTTTAACCATTTATATTATCATATATACAACACACCCACAGAAGCCAATGAGTTCACCTGAACACACTGACTGCTACTATTTGCATCTGTCCCGTATTAGAATTGTAATTCATGCAATCTATCTTTTAACATTGTATATATTGCATTAGGAGAAAGAATGCAGTGGTGCACAGCTACAAAAATAGTTTCTCAGGATTTGCAGCACGTTTATCAGATGCTGAAGCTCAGTCGATTGCTGAACAACCCGGAGTTGTCTCTGTTTTCCTTAATCCTGTATTTCAACTCCACACAACGCGGTCATGGGATTTCCTAAGGGATCAATATGATCTGGTACATGATTTTTCTTACAGTTCTGGTTCAAATTCAACTTCAAATGAAGCAGACACCATAATTGGCATTTTTGACACTGGTAGGAATCTAAATGCAAAGTCTTCTTACACTTTGTTTATTCTTATAACACTAGTAAACCATGTATCATGTATTATGTTTAGGAATATGGCCTGAATCAGAGCGTTTCAATGACAAGGGTATGGGTCCAGTCCCGTCCCGACGGAAAGGAACTTGCACCAAAGGTTATGATTTCAATTCTTCCAGCTGCAACAGGTAACGGTCTTTGTTGAGTTATATTTATCCAATAAGGGCTATGTAAAATTTCCGAAAGTGGATTACAGAGGTATTGGGCGACTTTCTTAAGGTTTTGGACGTGATGCTCAGATTTTCAGTCTGTCTGTCTCGAACATTTTCCTATTCAGCTTACTAAGTACCTTGCTAGGTGTATCAGTTTGATTAGAAGTTTTACTGTCTACATTCATGGACATGTATCAGGAAACTGATCGGCGCAAGGTTTTACGATGACGGAGGCTCTCCAACGCCTGTTACAGGGACACCTAGGGACCATGATGGGCATGGTACTCATGTTGCAGCCACGGCAGCAGGGAGTCCAGTGGCAGGTGCATCTTATTATGGGTTAGCAGCAGGAACAGCCAAGGGTGGGTCTCCAGGGTCCAGGATTGCAGTGTACCGTATATGCACACCTTATGGATGTAGTGGATCGGCTATTATGAAAGCATTTGATGATGCCCTTGCGGATGGGGTTGATATCATAAACTTATCAATTGGTCAACCAGCTGGAGCAGAGTTCGAGTTTTCAAGAAATCCTATTTCCATTGGAGCCTTCCATGCTGTAGAGAAGGGCATTCTTGTTGTCTCCTCTGCTGGAAATGATGGCCCTTTACGAGAAACTATTGTCAATGTTGTTCCTTGGATTTTCACAATTGCTGCTACAACTATCGACAGAAACATTGAGACACATATTCCCATGGGCAGGAACAAGCTGATTAAGGTATTTAAAAAGAAAAACACAGTTATTCTAACCACTAGCTATCTTTCAAGAACATCTTTCAATACCTTGTTGATTCTTGGGGTGGAGGTATTAGCTTTGTTAATCTCAGTAAATCTCCAGTTTATCCATTGCTGGCCAGTGAATCTGCCAACTTAACTATTTATGACGGGGTGGCAAGGTAATCGGAAGATTGAAATATATTAGTTCCCATTTCTAGGTCTCCCTTGGAAATAAAATTGTACATACCTGCAACTAACTTGGGGAAATTTCAGAGAATGTGAACCAGATTCACGCGACGAACACAAAGTCAAGGGTAAAATTGTTGTTTGTGAATATCACGTTGATGATTATTCAATCGAAGATAGGCTAAACGAAGTGAAGAACAAGGGTGGCATTGGATTTATATTAGTTATTCCTGATGATGAACTCGTAGTGGCACCC